CTTGCATGAATTTTGTGCATCGGGCCCCTAGTAGTAAATAAAAATCATTACTTGTACCTAGAAGACTGTTGATTTGTCTTCATTTATCTTACCAAATGGATAGAGTTGTAAGAGAAAAAGGCTAGAGTATGAATGTTGGAAGGTGCCTAGAAAAAACTGTCCATTGTTGGTATTAAAGGAACAGGAGGATGAAAAGAGCTGTGAGGCAGAAAAAGGTCTTCTGGGCCGCCAGGAAGAAGGACCCACTTGGCTTCCAAAACGGGTTCAAAGGCTATACTTATGTACACTAACTTCATAGGGTTTCCACAGCTGTGCTCAGTAGTGCTTAGAAGTCTTCCCTGATGTTTTTTGTTGTTGCCTTAAAATCCACTCAATCTGCATTACTTATTTTTTCACAGATCCCTCATTTAGAATGGAACTCTATGGCACTGTCAACAAAGGATGCTCGAATGGACTACCTAAGAGAACGTATATTTGGAGATGGCAAATCATGATAGTAGTTTTTATTTAAAATTAGTTACCATAGTGTGTTACATATGAACTTATTTTAATTAAGTGGTCTGACTCAGTTAAATAATGTATAGAATTGACTGGTTTTAAGGTCAATTGAATCCATATTAAAATAAACAGACATTTTACAATAGAATATCCTCTCCACTGTCTGTTGGGAAATTGTTTAACATTCTTAATATAAAAGACATGTAGCTTTTAAGAAACTTAAATAGTTTACAATTCATCTTTGAGTACATGCTATGTGTCAGGAACTGTTTTTGATATTGAGAATACAGCAGTGAGTACACTGTATCTTCAGGAGTGGAGTCAAACAAAGTAAATGAATAAAATATGCCTTAGCCCTAGCTGGTTTGGCTCTGTGGATAGAACGTCGGCCTGTGGACTGAAGGGTCCCAGGTTTGATTCTGGTCAAGGTCACATGCCCGGGTTACAGGCTCAATCCCCAGTAGGGGGCGTGCAGGAGGCAGCTGATCAATGATTCTAATCATTGATGCTTTTATCTCTCTCCCTTTTCCCTTCCTTTCTGGGAAAAATATATATATATATATGTGTGTGTGTGTGTATATATATATTAAAAATATATATTAAAAAATAGAGAAATATGCTAATTAACCGGGATGCCGTAACAGGTTGACCAGACAGCAGGTTGTGTGCACAGCATTGGGGGTGGGGCGCAGGGGCCTTCGGGCGCCTGTGCTGGGGGAGGGCCTGATCAGCAGCAGCCACAGCTGCTTCAAGGGCCGGAGAGGGAGGCAGGGCTGGACCGGAGAGTGGGTGGCGCCGTGTGCTGGGCTCCCTGGGTATATATATATACACACTCACACACACATACACATATACACACACACACTCAGCCCGCGCACGTATATATATATATATATGTTCGGTTGGTGGGGTGGAGGATGAAAGTAAAAAAAAATATCATGAATCCCCATCATATCCCCGCCTGACGACGAAACCACTGCTGAGGGAATATCTATGGAACATTATGGGTGGGTGTGATTTTCAATAGGGTGAACTGGGAAAGATGAGGTTATCATTTGAGTAAAGACTTAAGGAGGTGAGGCTGACTCAGGGTAGAGTACTTTAGGCAAAGAGATGAGTAGGTGCAAAGATCCTGAGGTAGGAATATGCCTGCTATGTTTGAAAATAACAAGGAATCGACTGTGGCTAGAGCAGAACAAATGGGTTGGCAGTATAAGAGGAAAGGTAGATAACAGTGTCAAATATATATGATCTCATGGCTATTCTGAGTGAGATGAGAGGCCGTTGGAGAGTTTCTAGCAAAGAAATGAAGTACTCATATTCTAACTGGATCACTTTGACTACTCTGTTGATATGAGAAAAGACTGCAGTGGGGCAAAAATCCATTAGAAGATCATTGCAGTAATCCAGACAAGAGGTGAATGGAGGCTTGGAGGTAATGAGAAGTGGTCAGATTTTTTAATGTATTTGAAGGCAGAGGCAACAGAATTTGCTCAAAGATTGGGTACAAAGTATGAAAAAAAGAGAGGAGTTAAGGACAATTCTGTTTTTGTCCTGAGCAACTGAAAAGATGTCAATGCCATTGATTGATATGGGGAAGTCCAGGGGAAGCGGAAGGTGGGAAGTGGTGGTGGGGGTAAGGATCACGAGTTTGTTTTAGACATGTTGAGTTTGTGATGCCATTTAAATATCTAAGTGGAGATATCAAATAGGCACTTGAATAAATGAGTTTGGAGGTCAGGGGAGAGGTGCCGGTTTCAGATTTAAATTTGGAAGTTTCAAGCAGTATTTAATGTGATAAGACTAGAAGAAATCACTAAAAGTGATTAGAGGAAAGTGTGACTGAAGGAAAGGTCTGAGGACTGAGCTCCGGGTGCTTGGACATGAAGGGGTGAAGAGGAAGAGGGCCAAGAAGAAGCAAAGGAGACTGGACAGGATTGGCCAGTGGGGTAGGAGGAAGCCAAGTAGGTAAGATGGAAACTGGGAAATTTCCATTAAATTTAGTAATGTGAAAATCACTGGTGCCCTGGCCTGTGTGGCTCGGTTGGGTGTCATCCCATGCACCAAAAGGTTGCCCCTTCGATTCCTGGTCAGGTTATATGCCCTGGTTGTGGGCTCAATCCCTGGAGGCAGCCAATTGATGTTTTGTTTTCACATTGCTGTTTCTCTCTCTCCCTGTCCCTTCCTCTCTCTAAAAATAAAAAAATATATATTTTAAAAAATCACTGGTAACTGTGAAAAGAGTAGTTTTGGTGAAGTGATGAGTTTGAAAGTCTGACTGGTTTAAGAGAAAGTGGGAGGAGACAAGACTTTCTTATAAATCAGTGATGGCGAACCTATGACACCCGTGTCAGAGGTGACACGCGAACTCATTTTTTTGGTTGATTTTTCTTTGTTAAATGCATTTAAATATATAAAATAAATATCAGAAATATAAGTCTTTGTTTTACTATGTTTGCAAATATAAAAAAATTTCTATATGTGACACAACACCAGAGTTAAGTTAGGGTTTTTCAAAATGCTGACACGCCGAGTTCAAAAGGTTTGCCATCACTGTTATAAATGGAAGCAAAGAAATGGGGAGATAGCTGAGGGGGAAGTGAACCAATCTTGACTTGGTCTGATCCAACAGATGCTGAGGAAGGAATAATGATTTCCTCTCTGTCTTACAACACATTTATTCAATTAAATAGTTACTAAGGGCCTACTATGTGATATAATCCCTAGCCCTTCTTCCAAGAGTGGTATATTTGTGCTCAGTGGAAAGCCATATTGTAAGGACCCTTAGGCCACCTGGTGGTGGTGGTGGGGGGGGGGGAATGTGGGTAATTGACCATCTGAAATTTGTTATCTTCTGACTCCATGACCCTCTAAATTCATTCTGTCTCAAAATAAAGTTGGTGGCTAGAGTGCCTTGAATCTTAAAATATGTGCCCTGCATGTAATTTGCTCCACTGATATTTAGTTTAGGTTTAAAATATCCAATTATTTTGCATGACGAGCTCCAGTTCTTAATTTTACAAAATGTGAACTTCACAGAACCTCTTGTGCAAAACAGAATCAGAACAGTAAGCAAAAGAAAGATGTTTCTCCTTACTTAGTTTCCTAATTCTGAATTTCCTCATAATATTCATTTGTATTAACTGATACACTTAATGCTGAGTGTTTATTATCCATTTTATGAATGTGTCCTATTTCTAAAGCAAATGATTGCCAGGACTAAACCCCTTGAACAGGTTAAAATATTTTACTGTGTAACTTTTAGAATAAAATGATTAGACTGGTGACGGTTAGAAATTAAACTGACGAGGGTTATAAACCAGATATAAATGAAAACCCAGACAGTATATATTAAAAAAAACAAAACAAACAAACAAAACCCTGATTAAATAACCCGGATATACCTTTCACTTATTGTCACACAAAATCTGACTCCTCATATACCACATCTCTTCCTCTCCTTTCTCTAAGTTACCTGATTTGAAGAATATATAAATATATTTGTATTTATATATATATTTAATATATTTTATTGATTTTTTACAGAGAGGAAGGGAGAGGGATAGCGAGTTAGAAACATTGATCAGCTGCCTCCTGCACACTCCCTACTAGGGATGTGCCTGCAACCAAGGTACATGCCCTTGACCAGAATCGAACCTAGGACCCTTTAGTCTGCAGGCTGACGCTCTATCCACTGAGCCAAACCGGTTAGGGCTATTTATATTTTTGTTTGGTGATTTTTCTGTCTAAACTGTCTAAATAAAGCATTTTTTTCATTAAGATATAATTCACATATCATAAAATCCACTCTTTTAAAGTGTACAGTTCAGTAGTTTTTAGTACATTCACATGATTGTGCAACCATCATCACCACTATCTAATTCCTGAGCATTTTCCTTATCCCAAAGCTTTATTTTTACAACTTAATCTCATGTCTACAGAGTTCAGCATTCTTCCTAATCAGAGGATACTCCAAATTAGTCCTAAATCAGGTTTCTCAGAAAATAACATGTCGGGACAGATGTTAAACATGTCTATGAAAGCACGTGAGGCCCATAGCAATGATTAGTTGATGATTGGAGAGCATTGAATGTGATGGTTCTGGACAGTCAACTTACTATATACAGGGTGGGGCAAAAGTCAGTTTACAGTTGTGAGTATGTGAAACACAGAGTTTATTCTTGCATTATTATTTATTAATTATTGAATTATTTTTCATATGAACAACTGTAAACCTGTTGCTCCACCCTGTATACTACTACACTAAGAACAAACAGCTTGAATATAGGGTCTTATATCCCAGAAAAATAGAATAATATAGTCATCTTCCCTTCAGAAATTTGCAATAGCTCTTTCCTGGAAAGCATAGATAAACCAATGAATACACACCCTCCTCCATACCACCCACTGGCCCCAACTTCTGCCTCAGCAGTTTAAGGACACTTCCTCTCCCTCTCACCACAGATACTTTTGTTAATGGCTTAAAAACTGTGATTGGCTGGTTTTAAATTGAAAAAAAAATTTTTTTATTTAAATCACAAACAGTATACCAGTGTGACAAAAGAATGGAGAAAAAGATCACTTGAATTTGACTACTTAGAGACTTTGCGCCTTCAAATGAGACCCATTTATTATACTCTTTAGCATTTCGGAAGTCTCTTGGCACGTAATCTTTAATATAATGCACAAGGTTCTTGTCATATCTTGAAGTTCTAGGAGGGAATGTTTTTGATGTTTTTAAACATTTAAAAATGTAGATGTACATATCTCATTCTCCAGTTTCATTTGTAATGGGAAACATGTAAAGTTACCCTAAAAATGCAAATGAAGCGATTAGCAACTCAAATTTAGGAACCTGCTTTATAGTCGTTGATTGAGTGAGAAATCTCAAAAGAAATCTGTTCAAGTTAATATTGAATTTTTCATTAGAAAATGGTTTTAAGATATGGTCATTACATGGAAGATTCAGACGTTGAGGTTTTGATACCCACTGCTAACCTCCTGCACAGTAACTTAGTGGATAATTTCTACATGGATCTCTGTATAGGCTTAAAAAAAACCCCAGAATAAATTAAAGCCCTGTTATCCAAACAAACCACCTCTCAATCTATTACATATTTTCACCTCCTTGTTTACAGTTTAGACACTTTGAAGAGATTTAAACGTGTTGCGAGGCAACTAGCTCCTGAAGCATAACGTATTTCCTTCAACATCCCAGCCCATTCCTTTTTATCGTCTTCATACCTGGTAGAGAAAAAAGAGTAATCAATAAGCAGTTTTTAAGTAGATGGTTCTTTATGTGTTAAATACACGAATGTGAATCTTTGAGGAAACCCTGCTGGCTCTTAGCCAGAGGAGGTTGCCCTTGACCAGTGTAGAATAATACTTGGATTCCTCCCAAATATTCATCCTTTGAATGAGCGATGTCTGAACTGCCATAGTATTTAATTTGGATGCTTAAGCAGTTAAGTCTTACCTGGGAATCAGAGACTATCCAGAGATGAGGAGTAATACACAGGCAATCAATCATTCACTTTGGATGATAGATATGGCTGGTTTTTTATGAATCAAGGCCAACAGACTCTACCTTAAGGTAAGAACTGGATGAGCAGGGACTGATGGTTGCCTTGGTTATGAATTTCAGTTGTTCTCATACACTAGTGCTTAGCACAGAACCTGACACTAGTGGTTACACCATAAAAATCTGTTTTCCTGTCCCTGTGTGAGTACTACTCTTAGACTGCACTTGATGTTAAGTAAGATCTGGTTGTTCCCTGTGAATATTCAGGGTTATAAAGTTACAGACAACTCGAATTCCTCTGCCTGGTGCCTGGAATGCTTTTCTCTCTTTGTATGAGAAACTCCTAAATGCTGTCTTCTCTCTGAAGCGTTTCTTGCCTTCTTCTCTTCATTTTTCACATTGTCCTTTAAATAGTATCTTGCCTAACCGGTTTGGCTCAGTGGATAGAGTGTCGGCCTGCGGACTGAAGGGTCCCGGGTTCGATTCCGGTCAAGGGCATGTACCTTGGTTGTGGGCACATACCCAGTGGGGAGTGTGCAGGAGGCAGCTGATCAATGTTTCTCTCTCATTGATGTTTCTAACTCTCAATCCCTCTCCCTTCCTCTCTGTAAAAAATCAATAAAATTTATTTTTAAAAAATAGTATCTTTATAGCAATTATTCTGTTTTAATCCCTCCTCCTATATTTATGTTCTCAACAAGCTCAAGGGCATTTGAGGACAAATAATAAAGGGTGTCCCAAAATTCACGCAAGAAGTAATTTTGATAGGAAACACAGGTTTATAATTAAAAATTGTAAATTTTTTATTGATTCATAAAGTCAGTATAGGGTTATGTATGGAATAGCATATCGGGTAAATGGCCTCCACGGCTTTGCTGGCACATACACATTCTTTTGTTATTGCCTGAGCAGCAGCATTTTCGAAGAAGAATGGTCCAATGATGCCTCCAGCCCAAAATCCGCACCAAACAGTGACACGTTGTGGATGTATTTGTTTCTCAACAATCACTCGTGGATTTTCTGAACCCCAAATGCGACAATTTTGTCGATTAACCAAGCCATCCAGATGAAAATGAGCCTCATCGAAATTCAGCCACATTTATGGAAAAATTTCAACAAAAGAGTGTGTATGTGCCAGCAAAGCCATGGAGGCCATTTACCCAATATGCTATTCCATACATAACCCTATACTGTATACTTTATGAATCAATAAAAAATTTACAATTTTTAATTATAAACCTGTGTTTTCTATCAAAATTACTTCTTGCGTGAATTTTGGGACACCCTTATATCTTACTCATTATTTTCCCTCCAGAAGCAATCATTACTTGGCATAAAGAAATACCCGAGCTCTGGCTGGTGTGTCAGTGGTGAGAGTGTCAGTCCAAGCACCAAAGGGTGTAGGGTTCCATTCTCAGTCAAGGGCAGGTACCTGGGTTGCAGGTTTGATCCCAGCCCTGGTCCCCTTGTGTGGGAAGCAGGCAATTGATGTGTCAACCAATCAGCTTCCCCCCCCCCCGCCCCCCCCCCGCCCACTTTCCTCTCTCCTTCCACTATCTCTAAAAAAAATTAGTGGAAAAAATATTCTTGCGTGAGGATTAATAATTAGCTGATACCTATGTAAGATATGCACTATGTGACTTAATTTCTTCAATAGTCCAAATTTAATTCTCAACAGTTGTATTATACACCAAGTGATTGTTATGTAGAGAAAAGTAGGCAAAAAATATTTTACTACTAATAAAGGGAAGAACCTTAATTATCTAAACAAAATTTGGGGCAGCAAATTAAGAGAATGTTTTTTTAAAAAAATATATTTTTATTGATTTCAGAGAGGAAGGGGGAAAGAGAGAGAGAGATAGAAACATCAATAATGAGAAAGAATCATTGATTGGCTGCCTCCTGCACACCCCCACTGGAGATTGAGCACAACCTGGGCATGTGCCCTGACTGGGAATCGAACTGTGACCTCCTGGTTTATAGATCGAAGCTCAACCACTGAGCCATGCCGGCCGGCTGGGCAAGAGAGGATGGTTTTAAATGACCTAATGAAAAATTGACATTTGAGCACGAGGAAGTAGAAGTTAAATGAGGCTGAAAAGGTTTGCTTCCTGGCAGTTATCCTGATCATTGTCATCTCTTTTTTACATCTCTGCATGTGTGAATAGAACCTCACTAGGAGGTTGCGGGCAAGTGGGCAGCCACTTTTCCAAAGATCAGTGGCTTTCCACCAAGTCACACTGATTGCTGGACCCCCACCTCCAGACTCAGTAGGTCTAAGGTGAGGCCTGTGAACTGGCATATTGGGCCAAAACCAGGTGCTGCCGTTGCTGCTTTGGGAACTACTGCGGATCATTGGTTCTCAGATTTGGACATTGGAACCATTTGGAGACATTAAAACAATTGATGGCTGGGTTCTACCCTCGAGATTGAATTAATTGGCCTGGGCATGAGGAGTTTTTATAAGTTCCCCAAGTGATTCTAATACACAGCAAGGTTTGAGAATCCCTGTTCTAGATTTTATTACCCAAATGGAAAATACCAGTACCTACATCTAAAATTTTACAGTCAAGCAGACAATGGTGAATGTCCTCTCTTGCCTTTTCCCAATCCAGTGGCTCCCAGACTTGTCAGCACATTAGAAGCATCCAGGGATCTTTTGAAAGTTTCAAAACCCCAACCATACCTGAGACTAATTAAGTCACAATCAATAGAGGTGTGACAGAGTGCCAGTATTTTTTGAAGCTCCCTAGGTGATTCCAGTGAGCAAGCAAGTTTGGGAACTGCTGCCCTAATTGTAAAATAAACCATAATCAGAGATGATCCCTCTCTCAGGTTCCCCTCAGCAATACCTTTAGCAGGAGATGTACTTTCCATTGCTGCCTACACTTCCTCTTGCTGAAGCAACTTGGCTTTTGACTGCTCTTGGGAACCAGAGTAGCTCATGTGGAGTTCAGCTTGTGACAGCACCCTTCCTAACACCAGCAGCTGCACATTAGAAACATCTGGGAAGGTTTTAGGAAATAGTGAAGCCGAGGCCCTATCTCCAGAAACTCGGATTTAATTGTTCTGTTTTAAGGCCCAGGAACTGGTATATTTTAAAAGCATCCCAGGTGATTTATAATGTAGAGCCAGGGTTGAGAATCACTACCTACTTATTGTTGGTTCCTACCCATTTTCCAAAACCCCTAACCCTTCCAACCATTCATTAGTTCATCCTTTTTTTTTTTTTTATTATTGTTTCCAGACTTTCCCCATTTCATCCTCTTGCTAAGTCTAGCCTCTTGCCTGGGAATCTCCAGTTTCTTTCTCTTCCTCTTCCTTTCCTTGGGGAAGAGAAGGGTAATAGTTAACTTCTTCTTATAGCCACTTTTTTCTTGCTCTCTACACAGCTGGTTACTATTACAGCAACATAAGGAAATGATGGATGCACAAAATAATTGCTCAGTTAAGCTACTGGCCTTTTAGATCCCCAAGCACAGTGCCTGGGCCGACGGCAGCAGTTCACTGGCTGGGAATAAGGCATGTGCTGGTCTAGGTATAGAACAAATAATATTCACTTTTCACTTTCAGGCTCAGTGGTATGCCTTCACTGATCACTCTTCCCAAGCTGTATCTAAACTGAAACATGCAAATAAGTCACCTGGGAATCTTGTTAAAGTGCAGATTCTGATGTAGTCTAGGGTGGGGCCTGGGATTCTCCATTTCAAAGCTCCCAGGAGCTGCCAACACTTTGAGTACCAAGGCTGTGGACAATCTGGTGACAGGCCAGGTAAGGCCATCCAGATTTGGGGGAAGGGGCTAGTCTTTAAGCTGAGGGGAAAAGCATGAGTTTGGCAGTTTCTGGATGTTCAGCCTGAACTCACGTATGCTCACCTCGGGCAACTGAGATCTATTTCCTGTAAACTTAGATCCCAAGCACAGTGCCTGGGCTGAAGGCGGCAGGCATGTGGTTTTCTGATGGTGACCAGACATCTATACACTGTATACCCTGCCTCTGACTTATGTGATTCTTCATGACACAACACTTATCTGGGAGGTAAAATGGATGGCTACTTTTTACTTTTTAAAAAAGGTTTTCTAGCCCTAGCTGGTTTGGCTCAATAGGTAGAGCACTAGCCTACAGAATGAAGGGTCCTGGATTGATTCTGGTCAAGGGCACATACGATCCCCAGCAGGAGGTGTGCAAGAGGCAGCCTATCAGGGATGTTTCTCATCACTGATGTTTCTATCTCTCTCTCATTCTCCATTCCTCTCTGAAATCAATTTAAAAATATATAAATTTTTTATAAAAAAACTTTTGTAACTAAATCCTCAGGAAATATGTAAAACCATAGAAATTAGATTTAAAATAGAATTCATGAATTGGTGGAAAACTCAAGAGGTTAAATATTTCTTCAGAACTCTGTTTTAAATTCTCATTTAATTGGTTAAGAACAAGCCCAGATAAGTTCTGGTTAGAAGAAGTAGCATGCACAAAAGTTCAATTAGATTCTGAGTCTACCACCAATAAGTAGCTTACATGTTGGGAAAGTCTGGCTTACTATTTACTTAAAAATTGTTCATTTTATTAGTTATCACTTATCTGAATTTGATATTTGGTTCGGAAAATTGGAGTGGAGAGAACTTACTTCCATATATCATTGACTTCAGTGGGTGCAAACTCTTTGGATTCCAGCTGAATCATGGCAAAACCACTGATGGCATACAGGGATCCAGCCAGACTGACCAAACTGATGGAACTTCTTTCCTGGGGAAATTCGGTCATTGCTTCCCATCTAGGAATTATTGAAAATAATCAATGTAAAACTAAAGAAATGCCAACTGTATTTACTGACCAATTATAGGTAATTATAAAGAAATTCAAGTAGCATAGGCACCCAAAATTAGAAGGTGAAATTTGCTACTAGGAAATATCTAAATATTATTCCTTTCTTTGAAAGAAATAACCAGATTAGATATAAAGTTCTCAGTATGACAATAACATGTATACTGTAGACAATCTGGAAAATACAGAAGGGTATAGAAGAAAATAAATATCCCCTATGATCATACCTTCCAGACTTAATCATAAGCAACATTTTGGTGTAATTTTGTCATTTTTATAAAAGGATACATTTAAATATAAACATCCATTCATACATATGAATGAAACTAAGAAAATAATTACAATTTTGTGTGCAGCTTCTTTAACTTTTTATATCATGAGTTTACCCATATTATATAGTCTTCAAAAACATGATTTCCAATGATTATTTAAGTCCTAGCCATAGAAGTTCCTTGTAATTTTCAGATACTAAAGTCTATTGTAATCCGGCATACATGGTTTCTTAAAAATGTAATAATAGTTTACTCTAATTTTTTCTTCACTGCTAAACTGAGAGTATAAAACTATATATTCATCCAGATGTGTGAGCTCAAAAATTTAAAAAAGACTAATTTTATGTAAATATTTGTCTAATGTTTTCACATTAACTTTAAGCCAATAAAAGCTTAAAAGTTAAAAATTTAAGAATATCATAAAGAGCATAAAAGAATTAAACTTCTGAAGCACTCATGCTTTACAAATATCACAAGCTAAGGTGGAGGTTTTTTCATCCTTAAAGAAACTACCTGTTTCAAATCAAATAACTCTATAGAGACATGTATATCCACCTACGTGTAGATAATTACTCAGAAGTGTTACCTTTGCATGACTAAATTCACAAAGTTAATAAGTACGAATTAAGTACTTCAACATTACCTTGAGGGTCATGAGTTCCAAATTACAAACACATGTAATGCAGCAAAATGTTAGGCATTTTTACACTCAGTAACAGGAAAAGAAACCCAGATGAAGATATTTTCTCTTTAAGCCTTACTTTCCTGTCCTCCTCTCCCCATGTTCTAGAGCAGGGGTCCTCAAACTTTTTAAACAGGGGGCCAGTTCACTGTCCCTCAGACCATTGGAGGGCCGAACTATAGCTTAAAAAAAAAACTATGAACAAATTCCTATGCACACTGCACATATCTTATTTTGAAGTAAAAAAACAAATGTTTTCGGCGGGCCGTATGTGGCCCGCGGGCCGTAGTTTGAGGACCCCTGTTCTAGAAAGCTTGACATTTATCCAAAGTTAAAACTGAAAATGTATAGTGATTCATATGCAGTAACTCACTTATTGGTTGTGAGGTCAAAAGCTTCAACAGACGCTGAAAGACCCTCTTCAGTGACACCTCCTGCAACCACAATTTTGCCTTTATGGATAGCCACTCCGAACATCGAACGTGGGGTTTTCATTGGAGGCATATCTTTCCAGTCTCCTTTTTTTGGGTTGTAGATAAATACTCTGTTTGTACACTTTCTGTAAACATAAGAGACAACAAAATGATCCTTATAGAACCTTCCTTTTTTGAAAGTAGCAACTTCACTAGTCATCTAGTTTTGCTTCTCATATGAAATATTTAGTACAGAAGAGGATCGGAAAACCCCAAAGTATTCTTTATCTATTTTTTCTTTTTATTGAATTTATTGGGGTGACACTGATCAACCCCAAAGTATACTTAATCTGAACATATGCCACCAAGCAAAGGACAGTTTCAAATGTGAGGACCAAAACTATTTTATAATTTAATGATAGTACTGGAAGGTAGAACACCTTTACTCTGTTGTTGTTAATCCTCACGTGAGGGTATTTTTTCCATTGCTTTTCAGAGAGAGTGGAAGGGAGGGAGATAGAGGTAAAGATAGAAAGAGAGAGAAAGAAACATTGATGTGAGAGAGACACATCAACTGGTTGTCTCCTACATGTGCCCCAATCGGGGGTAGGAGTTGGGAAGCGAACCCGCAACCCAGGTACATGCCCTTGACCAGAAATCAAGCCTGTGACCCTTCAGTGCACAGGCTGATGCTCTAACCACTGAGAAACCAGCCAGGGCAGGAAACCCACATAGAGTATATTTTAATCCTGCTACTGAATTCAACAGAAGACATGAATAGAGCAAAATATAAACCATAAGACCTTCATTGTGTGTTAGTAACAAAATGTTTATTTCATTATCTGAATATCCTAAGAATGAATCAGTTAACTTAAAAAGTAATTAGGTGGGAAGGCCGGGATAAGAGATCAACCGAAGGACTTGTATGCATGCATATAAGCATAACCAATGAACACAAGACACTGGGGCGTATGGGAGGCCGGGGGAAGGTCAAGGGGGGTAAAAAAAAGAGGAGACATATGTAATACTCTTTGTAATACTTTAAGCAATAAAACAAAAAAATGAATATAAAACTAAAAAAAAAGTAATTAGGTGAGACTGTACCTATTTTAAAATTTAACTGTGTAATATGATGGCTCATTTAATTTCAGTCCATCATTAATAAACCAATGTATTTTAAGAACCCTGGGACTATAGATTAGACAACTAATCATCTGAGTTGATGAGTAATGAGAGTAGTTTTATATGCTAAATGCTACCAGAAAAACTTGGACTCATCTGAATTCTTCTTCTTAGTATGTTCCTTATGTTTCCTTAAAGTTATCCACAATTCACTGATGAAAGTTTAGAATTCCTAATAATAATTGATTAACTGAATATATTTGGTAGCCAAAAAGCAAACAAACAAAATTCCAACTTTTTGTGAGGACAATTTTTTTCTTCAGTCTTAGAACAGACCAGATACCTGAAGTAGGAGCATTTCTTCTAATATTTGACTATGAATATTACTTTAAAATTTCTTGCCCCTCCAGTGTAACTCTGGTTGAGTGCTGACCCATGCACCAGGAGGTTACAGGTGAAATTCCTGGTCAGGGCATGTGCTAGGTTGCAGGCTCAATCCCCAGTAGGTGGCATGCAGGAGGCAGCCAATTGATGTTTCTCATTGATGTTTCTATCTCTCCCTCTCCCTTCCTCTCTCTGGAATCAATAAAAAACAAAACAAAACATTTAAGATTTCTTGACTAGAACATGATACAAAGTCATGTTCTTCACATTTAGTGGTGATAACTAGTGCAATTCAGTGCTTACTTTTAGATAATGACTCATTTCAAAGTTCTTGACTGGCATTTGCCAAGCCACACCTTGGCTAATCATATTCTCAAGATTACTATATTCTTACTGACAAGACTTGTATGCTTCTTACTGACATATCAATTTCCTAGTTACTAATACTTGAAGGAAACAATTTAAGTCACTTGGCAGGGTCATTATGTTTCCAAAATCAGAAGTGCTTAATAGATTTTCCACTTCATTTACTCAGGAAAAAATGCCCCAAGTAAGATTTTTTTTTTTTGAGCTACAGAACTTTCATTTCAGATACAGTGGGTTTGGCAGTTAATCTTGAACAGAAATTTTGGTCATCCAAAATAAGATTTTACACTGGGTGGGTTTATAATATGGCTTTCCTTTAAATATTCTTTGACGGTAATAGCTGGGATTGAGGAGGACTTCAAAATTTCAGAATGTTACCTTTGACTATAAAATGATTGTATAAAAACTCATTGGTTTTGTGAATCACATTTTAGGTGCCATGTTTGTCATTTTAATTGAATATTAACCATTAACTCCAGAACATAGAATTCTTTACTTCTAGCACATTTCCATATTTTACTTTCCTTTCCTGTTTGCCCTTATAATTCTTTAAAAAAAAAATCCTCACCAGAGGATATTTTTTCCATTGCTTTTTCAGAGAGAGTGGGAGGGAGGGAGTGGAAGTGGGGGAAAGGGGAAGAGAGAAAGAGAAAGAGAGAGACAGAGATATCCATGTGAGAGACACATGGACTGGTTGCTTCCCCAGACTCCCAAATCAGGGGGCAGGGAGGGAATCAACCACCCAGGCACGTGTCCCTGACTGGGAATCGAACCTGGACCCTTCTGTGTGTGGCGTTGCACTTATAATTCTTTTTTTTTTTTTTAAATAATAATTCTTAATTCTGGCTCCCTTTCCAGGATTGGACATCGCTATTAATTAAACAACTTGGACAAATGATGACAAAGTCAAATTAGAGTTTTCAGGGGCAGGAAATATTTCTCACTATTTACACAGAAAATCATCAATTTACCAGACAGGCTACTGGCTTAGCTGACTGACTTCTAGGATATCTGAATTCAGGTCTCCCTTTGAGTTACATAATATTTTTCCTTATTTCCTATCCCTTGAGAAGTGCCTAGAAATGTCATGCAAACTTACGACTGGGCACCAGTGGGCATACCAGGGTTAAATATTGTGAATACACCCTCTGTCCAGGAGTAAAGTGAAACATTGCTGAAGAAATAACTGCCCTATTTTCAGTCACCATGCTTTTCAGTTTTAAGCTCACCCATCTAAATCCTCTCTTATGAATGTGAAGCACAAATCCATGATATTTTTATGCACTATTGTTAGTAATTATATTTTAAATTCTAAATTAAAGAGATATACTTAATTTTTTATCTCCTTCTAGCCAAATGAATTTAAAAAGCCCATAAGTTTTAATGCAGTAAAATATAATTATAAAATAGCTAAATAAAATATTTGATTACTAGAGGCCCGGTGCACAAAAATTTGTGCACTCGGGGGCAGGGGGTCCCTCAGCCCGGCCTGTGCCCTCTCGCAGCCTGGGACCCCTCGGGGGTGACCACTTGCTAGCTTACGCCTGCTCCCCGGGGGATTGGGCCTAAGATGGCAATCAGACATCCCTCTGGCAGCCCGGCAGCCCTCGGGGGATGTCCACTTGCCAGCAGGGAGAAGACCTAAGCTGCAGTCGGACATCCTTAGCGCTGCTGAGGAGTCAGGAGAGGCTCCCACCACCACCGCTCTACTGACAGCCATCAGCCTGACTTGTGGCTGAGCAGAGCTCCCCCATGTGGGAGCGCACTGACCACCAGAGGGCAGCTCCTGCATTGAGCGTCTGCCCCCTGGTGGTCAGTGTGTGTCATAGTGACCAGTCATTCCCAGTCTTTCTGCTGTTAGGGTCAGTTTGCATATTACCCTTTTACTATATAGGATAGAGGCCTGGTGCACGGGTGGGGGCCGGCTGGTTTGCCCTGAAGGGTGTCCCGGATCAGGGTGGGGGTCCCCACTGGGGTGCCTGGCCAGTCTGGGTGAGGGGCTGAGGGCCGTTTTCAGGCTGGCCGGCGACTGAAGCTCCCAGCCCCTCCTTTTTTTCTTTCTTTTTTTTTTTTATTCTGGGATTTATTTACCTTCTATAATTGAAACTTTGTTGCTGTCACTGAAGCTGAGAGCTGCTTGCTCCAGCTCTGAGGTGGTGGCCTGCTGAAAGCAGGTATCTGGGGTTTGTTTAACTTCTATAATTGAAACTTAGTTGCTTTCAGAGCTCAGAGCCGGGCTGCGGCAGGCGGGGAACTTTGGCTTCCTCCATCACTGGAGCAAGCAAGCCTCCTGCTCACTTCAGCTGCATGGCTGCCGGCCGCCATCTTGGTTGGCAGTTAATTTGCATATTGCCCTGATTAGCCAATGGGAAGCGTAGCGAAGGTACGGTCAATTACCCTTTTTGTCTTTTATTAGATAGGATGCTCCTAAGTACTCCTTTTCTACTGTAAGACTGCTTATGTTGGAGGTATTATGAAATCATCCTATATAATAAAAGCCTAATATGCTAAGTGTCCAGTCATCCGGTAGGCCATTCAACCAATCAAAGTGTAATATGCTAATGATATGCTAAAGCCGCTCAACCACTTGCTATGATGTGCACTGACCACCAGGGGGCAGACAGTCAACTGGTCGACCAGTCGCTATGACATGCACTGATTGACCACCAGAGGGAAGATACTCTGACTGGTAGGTTAGCTTGCTGCTGGGGTCTGGCTGAGACGGGCCAGACACACCCTGGAGCCCTCCTGCGATCCCTCCCCAGCTGGCCAACCTCCTGCATCTAGACCTGTGCCCTCTCACAATCCAGGCTGAGCCCCCCCCCCCCCAAAGTGCACAAATTTCATGCACCGAGCCTTTAGTTTATAATATACTCCAATAACTTTTCAAAATTTAAAAAATTTCCCCCCAAAGACTTATGGGTGAGAACCAAGTCCTATTTCACTACGGAGACTTAAATGAAAAGAGGAAGGAACCCTTGTAATAAAAAACCACTTGGATGTAAAGCACCAGGAGGGTTCAGGGTACTCACTTGTCATCTGTCTTTCCTCCTAGACAGTATATCATCCCCTTATGTGAAACCACATTATGGCCATAGACTTTGATAGGAAGTTTTTTTACTTCATTCCATTTTGCAGCCCTAAAATCAGAAGATGAAAGAATTTATTTATAAGCTTTCAGTAAAAATATGAATGTTCTAGACACTCATATACCTGAATGCTTAGGAAATGGGAATGTCATGCAAACTTACACAGGATCATAGCATAATACTGTATCCAGCGAAGCCTCCGTTTGAAGGTCTTTGCCTGCAACTACATAGATTTTGTCATCTGCCTCTCCCAGACCGAAAAGACACCTCGCTGAAGGCAGAGGTGGAAGGCCAACCCACTCAGATGCAACGGTATCAAGCTGAAAGAAAAAAAAAAGAGGAAACTTGGAGCTTGTTAGCAAAAGGTTACAGATGTACCAGAAAATATCTATACTTTCTGAGGTAGTCAAAGATCTTGCAAGTAAAATACACTATAAATCAAAAATATTATATTTTACTTAGAAAAGTGAGAAAATCTACTTGGTTTAACAAAATAGCTGAAAGTAACAAAATGTGTAGGACTTTAAGAAAGGAAAGAGAATGAAATGAGTCACAGGAGGTTGGTTAGAACTATGAAGTTTGTTGTCAAATTTTCATCTCTTGTTCAGGTTTGAACAGGGAATCATAACACTTTTAGGACACTGGCGAAAGAACGGTTTTCACTGCAGGGAGGGTCACAGTACGTGAGTGATCCCCGCATGCTATATTTAACATGTTCCCCAAGCCGGCATCCGGGACAGCTGGACCTGTCGCTCAGTCCACAGACAACTGGAACGTTAGGCAGTATCTTCTTTCTTCCAAAACTTTTCAGGTTTACTTTATTGCTTTATGAGATAGGCAGGTGTTCTAGCTTATAACCTCCTAGCCTTTTGTTGAGCATCAACTGAAATACCTTTCTCTTTTTAAAAAATTCATATTAGGAAGTAACTGCTTATTTTTGCTATTGCCACTTCTGCCAGCCTAAGATCGCCTTCTAAGTGTCTGTGCCCTGGGGAGGTGATTTTGGTATGTCTGGCATCACTTTCAGCTTACTGTTACTACTACAACTTACTATTGGTAATTTTAAGATTTTCCAATTTGCATTTAGGACACCAAGGCACAAGGAAACTGCTCTCGGAAGGTAGTGCCATCACAGACTTGTTGAGCTCTCTAGTGCTACTTCTGTGCAGCAGAAGAAAAAGAAATAGGGCCCAGAATAAACGGATACCAAGAACAGATGTAGGCACTAATGGCTGTGGTATAGGGAGGGGTCCCTGTGGAAGCCCATCAGTATCTGGTCTAGTAACCTTGGCTAAAGCGAAGTACTAATTAAGACTAGACGAGACGAGTGGTTTAATCCCCACATGTGCATTAGCTTTGCATTTACTAATTTCGATATCTACATTGTGATCACTAATGTTTTCATTTTTGAAAAAAAGAAATCCTTTGATCAAGAAAGTGGTGTGCAGTATAGTAGAAAGAATAATGAACATTTATGGAGTTCTGACTCTGTGACAGGGTTTGTACTAAATGCTTTACACGGGTAATCTCATTTAGTTCTCCAGGATAGGCACTTTGATTGTCTCCATTTTACAGATGAGGAAACTGAGGCACAGAAGGGTTGAACATTTGCCCAAGCTCACAGAGCTTGTAAGTGATATCCGAATGCAAGCTACATAAATCCATAGTTTTTGTTTTGAAATGGGAACAGAAACTCTCATGACCCCATGCTGGTGGGTTTATTGCCTGCGCTTTGCAGTATTGATGGGGTATTTCCTGCAGCAGACGGAACAGTAGACTGCCTGCCAGACTTTCTGATACGTGAGCTGTCAAGCTATTGAACCACTATGGCTCTAGTTTCCTCATCCTTAAAATTAGGGTTTGGACCTAGATTATTTTAAGATGTGGTGCTGTTCAAAGATTTGATGAATCTATTAACTCTATGGAAAAAAAAAACCCTCTCTTACCTATGTAAAAAAATTCTCATAATCTATTTACAGTATACAATCAAAGGCCATATTACTCCTAACTTAGTACTTTTTAAATAGATGTGAACAAGCAAAAATGCAACACCTGAAATTCTCATACCTAAATTTTCTTATGAGTCATTACCCTCTTTTATGATTGGATTTTTTCTACTTTAATGCATAAAGAGAAACTTAATAATGAGCCTATGATATTATGAATAATTCATAGTTACATTAAGGAATCCAGTAGAAGAGAATCTCTTATAAAATAATTGTTATTTGGGTAGAGAATTAATTTTTTTTACAATGCTGAGACTTCTGCTAACTAAAAACTTCATAGGAAGAAAAATCAATATGACAGAATTTCATTTAAGTTCATTTGAATGTCCCCTAGAGCAGTGGTTTCATGCATCAGAATCACCTAGGGGGCTCACCCTCCAGAGTTTCTGTCCACAGGTCTGGGCAGGACGATCAGGTGTTTTTATACTGGTATTTTGTTCTACTCCTTGTGCCCTTTAAAAGGAGCAAGGCATGGGCAATGACAGGGTGCTGACCCTTTCAACTTTGTATAACTTTTTATGGTTATAAAAACATCAAGCAGTTTTCTTGAACCAGAAATAAGAGGCTAAGTCAATAAAAGTAAGGGTAGTAACAGGATGGCAGAAAATACAGATAAGGCTGTAAATATTCCATGGACCTATTATTTCTAGGTATCTATCTGTATTTTGATGTAATTTTTACTCCTAGATATAATTATTCTTTTAAATTGAATTTGCCCTTTTTGAAATTAAAATTAGGGCTTAGGAAATTTTCTGTCCCACATTCAAATACTTGTGATTACAGCTTCTATTTTATTTTTTTATTTCTAGCTAACATTCTTCAGTAGATCTTTGAAAATTAAGAAGCATGGTTAACAAGTATTATTACATTTTTCAAGATTAGAAAAAGCTGGTTTAAATGCCATATTTTGTGAATGCACAGTATTCACACACTTTGAGAGTATGTAGTTACTGTGGTATGACATTCTACACTTACTTAGCTCTAGCCTTCCCAACTCAAGTGCCCAGAAATCCCAGGCCATGACTAAACAAACTGTTTGAGCTAGCCGTAAGCTGCAAAATACTGGCATTGGCATTAGTGAAGATAAAGGTGAAGCCACTGATTCCTTCATAAACTGATCAAGTACAAGGTGTTCATAACATGAAACAAACTCCCTTCAGACAAACTACAAAGAGTCTATTAGTTTAGGATTTGTTTTCTAAGAAACTTCTGTGGTTTTACAAAACAGATTAAGTTGTAATAATATCTAAGTATAACTGTGATTTATTGATCCAAATAAATGTGATCATTTGTCACATATAAAAAGTCATTGTAAATTCCTAATATTGTGAGTCAATTCCAATTAGTGACACTTGTGCAGACAGTTTTTCCTAGAAGGTAATGCAAAGTGCGAAATATACACACAAGTTCTTCTCACTTTCAACAAAATTATATTATAGGCAGCAACCATAAATAAAAGGTGACAAATTAGTTTCAGGAAACTTGGAAGAAATTAGAAAATCTGTTCAATTATAGCTTTTTTGGACTGGAATAGGACAGCAAGTAGAATAAAATGCAAGCAGCCTGAATACTTCGCAAATCAGCGAAGTGGATGGTGAGTAACCACCTTGCCTTTATATCTCCACTTGTATAAAAATTGCCTCTTACCTGGAAGAAGTATGACTGCAGAGGTTGATCTTTATTTTCTTCATCCACATATAGTCCTCCTACCACATATACCTGATTTTGTTGGGTAACGACGCTGGAATGATTTCTGGGAATCTGTTCCGCCAATGCAGTCAGGTAGCATTCATTTTCCGTGGGATCATAAGCCACTGCAGCTGTGTCATTAATCAAGAGGATGAGGTCTTTGACAAACATTCCATGCCTGGGAATGTCATTCAGGTAACCAGGAAGTAAATCTTCATCACCAACATCTCCATTCACCTCACCAGCCCCAGCCTTGTCTGCATTCTTGCTCGGTTCTGGAAGTTTGCCTGCGAAAGCGTCCTTGAGAACTTTGATTTTTTTCTGGAGTTCTGGGTTGCTTTTAATGATATCATCTTTCTCAACATGATCTTTAAAATATTTCTCTGTCATCAGGCGAAAACGGATACAATCAAACACTTCGCTAAGGCTTTTAACTCTTTCTTTGTCTGTTCGCACCCATTTCATCACCGCCTCAAATACCGTTTCTTCCTTTTCTACATTTAGGCTGTCATTTGAAACGACTGAGATCAATTCCTGGGGCGACAGTTGCATGAAGTCCTCTTCCTTACAAATCTGTACAAAGCGATCAGACACAAATTCCCGGGCCGAGATGGCAAGTCTGGGGCAGTCAAGGAGAAGTCCTAATCTTAGGATGGCTAGACAGTTACCAGGAGCCAGTCTTTTCTGAAGATAAGAGACACAGACAGTGAACACGGAGGGGATCTGAAAGCGGCTGGCCAGTGCAAAAATATCTTGCACGTTTCCATCGTTGAGATCAATACTGGCGGAGTAGAGGTACTTGATGATTAAATCCAGCATGGCAGAATCCACATTATCTAGGACGACCTCCTTTTTTTTCGCCTCATCAATGTCAGATAAAAAATACTCACGGAAGTAAGGACTACACGCTGACAAAATCAATCTGTGGCACGGAATACTTTTGTCGCCAGCTTTTAGGGTGCAGTCGATGAATTTTTTCTCATCCAGGAGATCTCTTAGACCATCCTGAAGAAGGGTGGATTGGTAAAGCCGCAGTTCCTCTGCGAGTTCCCGCTGCGATTCCATGTTGGGAGTCACCTGGGTGAGGAAGGGGACACTGAAGGCCTTAGCTCCGCGCAGCACACAGGTCTAGCTGTAAAGAGGCAGAGCAGTGTGCTTTGCCCAGCCTGAAGCCTTTGCAATTTAATCCCACCGGCTAAATATAGATACCAACTCCAACAACGGGAATTTAGGAGAGCTGGTTTGGAAAGAAGAGTGGTTCTTGCAGCTGTTATAGATGGAAAGGAACAACTGAAACTTTTTATCACGAAGGGAACAGCTCAGAAACAAGAGATTTAAATGAAGTGGAAAGCTTGAAAATACATAAAGCGTTAGGAGGTCAGCTAATAAAGGCTACCACAAGCAAATGCTTATTGAATTAACAGAAAACTGAATCATAAAAATGAGTCAGTCCACTAAAAATGGTCTGGTGGCAAGCTACTTGGCTATCTGATTAATCATGCAAAGGTCAAGAATATGGGGTGAGTTCATTTGAATACTCAAGCAAGATCCCCTTTCCAAAAACTGTTACAAAGTTTTATTTTCAACTTACACCAGTGAGGTATATACTTTTCTTTTAGAAACTGGACACCAAAAGACTTCTACGTATGTTCTATAATTACAGTGGTTTTAGAAAAACATTAAAAATAATACCCTCATCATAACTGAAATAATAAGTATAGAGAAACTGCTAATTTTCTAAGACATTCTAAATTATCTTTGTTAAATGGAAAAAGTATAATTGGTATTGAATTAAATTATGAAATTATTTTATTCACACTCTGCCTCACTCTACATAGTATTTGGTGTGGCAAACAATAGCAATAAAATAAGTAAAATAAAAGCTGTCATCAAGACCAAAAAGAAAAAGAAATAGTTTAAAGTCAATAATAGAGAAATAAACCTACACATAAACAATTTGATCACTAAAGACATCCTATTGCCGAAACCGGTTTGGCTCAGTGGAGAGAGCGTTGGCCTGCAGACTGAAGGGTCCCGGGTTCGATTCCAGTCAAGGGCATGTAACTGGGTTGCGGGCACATCCCCAGTGGGAGATGTGCAGGAGGCAGCTGATCGATGTTTCTCTCTCATCGATGTTTCTAGCTCTCTATCTCTCTCCCTTCCTCTCTGTAAAAAATCAATAAAATATATTTTAAAAAAAAGATATCCTATGATGTAAAGTGTTTAAGATGATTTTTCATTAAAGAAAAAGTTAAGAACAGATGTAACCCCATGAGAACAATGTTATCAACAGAACATAGCAAAATCAGGATGAAGTGCTACATCACCTGTATAAATTTGGAAAACAGGTCTAATACATGAAAAAGAAAAAAAAGAAAGAATGTATAAGTGGAAACATAATTTAAGTTTATTATAATAGAACACCATATTAATTATGGAATGCAGAAAGCATGATTTGAAAGAAAATTGATTTTTTTATATACAGATAGCATCGTATACTTATGAAATATTTTATTACAAAATTATATTGTCACATTTTCTGAACTCAGTGGGGCTGTAGAAATACTGTAATATTAATGGTTAGTATCTTTTTCTTTAAATAATATTTTATTTTTCAATTACAGTTGATGTAGAATATTATATTAATATCAGGTGTACAACCCTGTGATTAGACATTTATATAACTTACAAAGTGATCACTCCGATAAATCTAGTACCTGCCTAACACTATAGTTGTTATAATATTATTGACTATATTCCCTATGCTATACTTGACATCCCCATGACTATTCTGGAACTACCAATTTGTATTTCCTAATCCCTTCACCTTTTTCACTCATCCTGCCAACTCCACTCCCATCTGCCAATCATCAAAATGTTCTCTATGAGTCTCTTTCTGTTCTGCTTATTTATTTTGTTTTCTAAGTGAAATCATCTGACATTTGACGTTCTCTGACTTATTTCACTAGCACAATACACCCTAGGTCCATCCATGTTGTTGCAGATGGCAAGATTTTTTTTCATATTCCATTGCATATATGTACCACTTCTTGGTATTCTTAAACATACTCAAAAGAACATAAGCTCCATGAAGATAGGGAATTTTTTTTTGGGGGGGGGGGACAGGAGGTGTTGTTTTGTTCACTGCTATGCCTTCAGATTAGAGAATTATGTATTTTTAAACTTCAAGATCTCTATCCATGAGTAAAGGTTTTTTCTCTTATTTACATCATAGTGAAGTCAGTGGTACTGTCAGCTGCTAAAACAACAGCTGAAAGAAGAGCTCATTGACTCCTTTTCCATTTATAGATGCCACTACGGTTTTAACACACTAGGAAAAACTCACAGCTGCTCCCTTATTTAAACAATAAGTGACTCATTTCTCTCTACACGTAACACCTAACATTTGAAAAGATTGAGTCAGATACAAACACCATGATAATGTTATTTGAGATTATTCCTTACTAGCTGACAATTTTATAGTCACTTTTGCTTGAAAAACTACTTAAACAATATTCCTGGTATCATTTGGTGACCTTATAAATTTTTCCAACAACCATTTTTCCCCTTAATATAGGTTATCATATAACCCAACCCCATAAAATGTAGAAATCCTTTCCTATTTAAATAAAGTATTTTATAGCTTTTAGTCATTGTTGTTTATTAGACGCAAGTCAGCACTTGCTTGAACCTTAAATGTTTTTACATGCTTATTCATTTCCCTCTAGACCAGCGGTTCTCAACCTGTGGGTCGCGACCCCTTTGGCGGTCGAATGACCCTTTCACAGGGGTCGCCTAAGACCATCCTGCATATCAGATATTTACATTACGATTCAAAACAGTAGCAACATTACAGTTATGAAGTAGCAACGAAAATAATTTTATGGTTGGGTCACAACATAAGGAACTGTATTTAAAGGGCCAGAAGGTTGAGAACCACTGCTCTAGACTAAAGAGGGTTCCTTTGGCTAATTTCAATGATTTGACAAAGGTTCCTTATGACCTTTCTTTATACAAAGCAGTGGCAAAAAGCACTGAGGCCAGAGAAGTCACCACATCTTACCTAACCAAGAAATCAGAAAACTGATTTCTGAAAACTTCAAAGAAATTTCAATTAATACAAGCAAGAATGAAGTCAATAAATGAACTATTTATTTATAAATTATTTAAAATTATTTACTTACAAAATAAAATGTATTCTTGCCAAAACTATATTGAAATTATTTATAAAACTGCTCAAAAGTTTACATAGGGGTTGATATATTCCAGAGTTAGCTACAATTTTTATAGACATGATTACTTAAAAATGACAAGTTTAAGGGTTATAATTTATATTAGAGTTGGCTTACATTGGAGCTATATGATAATATATTTAAAGCAGATTTTTATAATTAACAGTTGTAATTTGATTCCTCCATAAGAATAGTCTTATTCTTTTAAATAATACTTTCAAAACATTAAGTGGTGCTGCATAAAGTTTTTATTAAACCCAATGTGATACATTCATTTACTATCCACAGACTAATAGTTTACAAGTATTAGGAACAAAATAGACATATTTACAAACCAGATACATTTTGATTACAGTTTCAAATATAATTTTTTAAAAAACTGATAGTAAAGCCTACATGAAATTTTCTTCAATCATTAAAAAACTCTTTCTTAAAAGCTTTTTCTGTAAATGTAAAAACGATTCCATGCCTTATAGAAGACAACTAGTATCTTTAATCTTGAGATATCTTTAAATAAAAATCCAGCTCAACTCAAGATCAACTCATTACTTCCCAAAGTCCCTGTAGGGTGAATCCATCCTTCAATTTCTCTATTGCAAGCCCCAGTTCTTCTGAAAATACTGGTTCACGATCTTGTTGCTTTTTGGGAGATAAGAGGATGAGATGGGAATAGAGAAGGTAGGCATAGAAGAGGGAAAAAACAAAAAATAGGTTTCACATAAGTTTGTGAATACTAAATGTTAGAAAATAGAAAGTATTTTTTTCATATGCTATAGGTAAAATATCCTTACCTTATTGCCATCAGCAAAATAAGCCTATAAGATAAAGAAAATTATATTTCACATATGTGACATAATATTATAATAGGTCAGTGAGCTAAGGAACAGGTAATTAATTTACAGAACAATTCTGTAACAATATATTTTATATTCTGTTACTATGTGTCTAATGATTTTCTTAATTATCTTTACAATGGTAGCAGAATTTGTTTTTTCAGTCCGTCATTATTAAGATCTTCAAGAGTTGTGCTTTAAACTCTAAAAATTGTGCTTTGTGAAAAGATAAAAAATATGACTTAGAGGGTAGTGAAATATCATCCCTACTTTTTGTTTACAAGAAGATGCTGGCAAAACAAAACAAAGTAATCAGTCAGAAAATGCATAGAGTTTAAGGTAATAGTAGAAGTTTATAATTAAATATTTTATACTAATTTCACATTTTTGTTTAGAAATATATGTTCTCAGAGAGGTATTCTGGTCAGATTCTTAGACCACAATATAAAGTAAGCATTATTATTATTTTGACTATTAATTACATAATACAAATTTAGAAACAGGAAAGTTTATTGTTAAAATAGATATTCATTTTAAGATAAAATACCTATAAATTGAAAGTAATACCTATAAATAGAAAGTACAGATATTAAATTAATTTAACTATATTTAGCATTTTCTATTATTCTAAAAGTATGGAAAACTTTTCACATATCTGAAATCTGAATAATTGTGTTCTCAAACTATTTCCCAGTTTGGTAATTAAAAAATATTTTCACACACACACAAAACCCCTAACTTAAAAAAAAATTACACTCCAACTCATGTTTAAAATACTCTCAAAAGTCTCAAGTTCAATGGTATTTACATACTTAATCTATTATTTAATAAAATGTGACTCAGAATCACAAGAAATTGAGTAACCTCCTTTGGGATGCTCACCACAAAAGCGTCTGGGTGATCATCAGAGTCTATTTCTACATCATCTTGAATTTGTTCAACTGTCAGAGCTTCAAGAGGCTGTGGCTGAAAATCAGATGTTAAAATGCATTAAACCAACAAAAAAATGCATTAAAGAGACAATGTTAATTAAACAAATAATTTTAGTAAAATTTACTGAGAATTATAAATTTGTAAGAGGATAACACAATTGTAAACTATTCAAGTCTTATAAAATTCATTGTATAACATATTCTATTAAAACTAACTTGGGTAATAAAATGAGTCAGTTAAACCTAAGCTTTTAAATCTGAAATTGATATCATCAAAAGAATTAAAGTGACAAATTTACACATCCTCAATATGATATTCTAAAAGAAATCTTACAGATAGAATTCTAAAATAATACAGATATTCTAAAAGAAAAAACTCTCATTGAACTTTATCTGATTTTCTTTCATATAGTTAAACAAAACAAAGTTTCCCCCCAAATAATCATTAAGTAGAACCTGTGAAAAGTAAAAGAACTAAGCTTTGTAGGGAATATTATAAAAGGTAAAACATAATATAATACTTATACTTATGAACTTATTTTTCAAATACTGGACTATCCTTGGTATATTAGGTACTATGCTAGTGCTACCAAGGGTTTAAAGTCCCTGACCTTAACCACGAAAGGCTTTTAATCTAGTGGAAGGTGGGGCAAAGGATAAAACATAATTACAAATAACTAAATATTAGGATGAACCATCTGAAATTGCCATTTTTATTAGCTGAAAATGGTAAAATGTTACTAATATCATTGGTTTAACATACGAAAGTAGCTGTAACAAAAGCAGTATCTATTATAATCAAAGAGTTTGGAGAAAGCACAACTTCTGAATTGTGAATCCCAGAAATTTTCATGATGTAAAGGTCTTGATCTAGGGCTTTTAGGATGAGGATGATATTCATAAGGAGGACTAGGGGAAAGGGTATTCCTGGCAGAGGGGATCAGCATCAGCAAAGGTGAAAAATCACAGGATGTGGCTGGAGAATGATGAATAACCCAGTATGGTCAGAATATAAGAGTCCCATGAGACAGAAGGAACTAAGTAGGGTTGTAGTATTGAACAACACTAGGGAGCATCATTCCCACTAAAGTTCATGTGAACAATGTTCTCTAGAGTTGAACAGTGTGCATGTACAACCAGACACTGTGGCTGTGCAGATAAGGTGACAAAGGTAGACTGAAGTCTACTGAAATTCTTTAATATCAGCTCAAAAAATTTGGACTTTATTGATAGGTATTTGGTGGGGGAGGGCTGAGGGTAGAAGGGTATTGCTTGACAAGAGAGTGAACTGATTTCATATTCTGAGGTTAGCCTCAGTGTTTCAAGTTATGTTCAGAGCTGTGTGACTGTTACGAGTAATTTAACCTGTCTAAGGTCTCCTTAACTGTGGATGCAGGTGATAATATACTTCATAGTATTGTTGAGAGGATTAAATGAGATGATACATATAAAGTTCTTAGAGCAGTGAACGGCAAACATGTGTTCAACAACTGAATATTCACTAAGAATCTGTTATGTACCAGTTGAGACTGCTGGAGATATAATGGTTAAAGAAAACAGATAAAAATCTTGACTTCATGGAGTTTATTTATAGCAGAAGAGACTGATTAGTGTTACCAAAAATAAAGTAAGCAAGCAGAATGAGGGACAAAAAAGTGACGGGAGTTGCCATTTTATTTATTTATTTGTTTGCTTATTTGTTTATTTATTTAATGTTAATCCTCACCTGAGGATATTTTTTCCACTGACTTTTAGGGAGAATGGAAGAGAGAGGGAAAGACAGAGAGAAACATCGATGTGTGAGAAACACATCAATTGGTTGCCCCCTGCATGAGCCCTGATCAGGGGCCAGGCTGGGGAGGAGCCTGCAACCAAGGTATGTGCCCTTGACTGGAATCAAACCCGGGACTCTTTCATCCACTGAACCAAACTGGCTAGGGTGGAGTTGCCATTTTAGATGGATAGTCAGGGAAGACCTCCCTGGAGTGGTGGCTGTTGGAGTAGGGATTTATATGAGGTGACAGAGTGAGCTATTATGGTTGGCTATTATATGTACTGGGGCCAAAGAAGGGGGAAAGAGAGAAAGAATGGGTAGAACTAACAAGCCAAGTATATCCCAGGTGCCAAGCATTTTATAGATATGATCAATAACATTTTTATCAATAATTTTAAAAAGTGTATATATATATATATATATATATATTATTGATTTCAGTGAGGAAGGGAGAGAGAAACATTAATGATGAGAGAGAATCATTGATCTGCTGCCTCATGCTTGCCCCATACTAGAGATTGAATTGAACTGTGACCTCCTGGTTCACAGGTCGATAGATACTCAACCACTGAGCCATGCCTGCCAGGCTATCAATAACTTTTGTTGTTGTTTAGGTAATCAGTAACTTTTTAAGAGAGATTATCTTCATTTTATTAAAAATTTATTTGTTTGTTTTTTGTTAATCCTCACCCAAGGATTAATTTATTAATTTTTTTTTTTAGAGAGAGTGGGAGAGGAGGAGACAGAGAGAGAAACTTTGATGTGAGAGAGACACATCGACTGTTGCCTCCCGCATGTGCCCCACCTGGGGCCAGGGATTGAGCCTGCAACTGAGGTATGTGCCCTTGACTGGAATAGAACCCGGACCCTTTAGTCCACAAGCCAATGTCCTTTCCTCTGAGACAAACTGGCCAGGGCATTATCTTCATTTTATAATGAGAAAACTGAAACTCAATTTGCCTAGGATAAAAAATAGTGAAGTTAGGATTAAAGTTGGGTTTGTATGGAAAAAAGGAGATAGGAACAGGGAAGAGACTGGTATAATCGACTGAATGTGTAAAATAAGATAATGGGGGAAAGCCCTGGCTGAGTAGCTTAGTTGGTTAGAGTGTTGTCCCGATATGCCAAGGTTGTGAGTTTGATCCCCAGTCAGAGCACATATAAAAATCAACCAATGAATGTATAAATGAGTGGAACAACTCAATGTTTTTCTCTCTCTAAAATAAACAAACAAATAAACAAATAAATAAAGGGGGGGGAACTCCATGGTTTTGAGTACAGCTAACTTTGACAATGCTAAAAATAAATAAGTAGTAAATAAATAGGTAAATCGGCAGGATGCTGCTTTTGAGAAAAACGCTGCCATTATAGGTATGCCGAATTTGAGATACTCAACCAAGTCTTAGTGTATTTTACTGACTTGGAAAATTATTTACCTAATTAAATTACTAAGATAAACTTAAAAAAAATATTTCTTTATTGATTTCAGAGAGAGGAAGGGAGAAGGAGAGACAGAAACATCAATGATGAGAGAGAACCATTGATTGGCTGCCTCCTGCACGCCCCCCACTGGGGATCGAGCCCGCAACCCAGGCATGTGCCCTTGGCCGGAATCGAATCTGGGACCCTTCAGTTTGCAGGCTGACGCTTTATCCACTGAGCCAAGCCGGCTAGGGCTAAGATAAACTTTTAAATGAGAAATTAATATTGATAATGTATGTGATATGTGACATGGGTCAACATGCTGAGTACCGGTAGGGACACTGATGAAAGAGTGGATAACAAGGACACCAGCAATAGAGTATACAGTGAGGGCCCAATAAAACAGACAGCAAGGGAACCTGTGATGGAGTGGTCAGCGAGGGTACCAGTGAGAGAGCCTCTGGCAAGGGTACTGATAGAACACAGAGAGGGCGTCTCTAATGCAGTGAGTGCACAGTGATAAGTCAGATGACAAGGGTCCTAGCTGGAGAGGCTGAAAGTAAAGCCAAAAGAGAACTGATGTACCTGGAGAGTTAAACTGGTGAGAAACCAGATATCATGGGGAGACAAAGAGCAAACATGTGGGGATAATATTCAAAATATTTCATAACTGGTCTTGCACAGGAACTGAGGAATAGGGATGGACACAGGCCATATTAGTGGAGCAAACTCCTGCAGTTGCTATGCTGTAGGGCCTGAGAGGAAGAAAATGGTGTCTGTAAGGTTTGCCTGTGCTAATGGGAGGCTGAAGTAGAATAAAAACAAAGCTCACAGAGTGAGAGATTCTAGTCTGTCTACGTCAAGGAGCCTTGCATATGGAGACTTCTCTGGATAGGCTGCTCACCGAGAAGGGCAGGAATTAAAGATGAAGCAGCCGTGGGAAGACAGGTGGTGAGCACAGAGCAGAGTCTGTATAGTCGTCCTTTTAAACATAGTTTAAAATAAGTTGTACATAATGTATTTATATCTGAATTTTATAGATTGTGTGAAAACAATTCAGCAAACACTGTATTTCACACAGTGAACAAATTACCTTTTCTTCCATTTCATAGTCTACTCCAAATATGGGACTGGCAGAATAGACTTTGTGAAGTGAATTTATTTCCTTAACTGATGCTTGTAGTTTTTCCACAGGATCTATTTTAAAGCCAAGAACATATCCTCCACTCTACAAGGAAAAATAATGAAAAAAAAAAGAAACAAGCCAGAGAAATGTTATTTCAGGATATACATATGATAAATTTTAGCTCTAATTGTCCTTATTTCAGAGCATAATATGTAAACTGATTTTTTTAAATAAAAATTTTATTATGAAAAACTTCAAACATAAACAAAAATAGAAAGAGTACAGTAAGCGTCCATGCAGCCATCATCCAGTGTACACAAGTAACAAGGCATGGCCAATTCTTCTATCTGTAACCGTACCCTCCCCCGACCTCCTCCCCTCACACACTCAGGATTATTTTAAAGCCTATCCAGATATCACATCATTTCATCTGTAAATATCAAACCTGATATTTCAAGTTCAAAGATACACTGTAGATTGTGATGGCCAAGGGAACTAAGTTTTTCTTATGCTAGACCTTGAAAAGGAATATACTATATATTAAAAGAGGTAAGGGGATGATCTACCTGAGGCTATCACCTTGAAGAATGAAAAATTTACTAGCTGGCCCGGCCAGTGTGGCTCAGTGGTTGATCGTCAACCTATGAACCAAGAGGTCACAGTTCAATTCCTGGTCAGGGCACATGCCCGGGTTGTGGGTTCGATCCCCAGTGTGGGGCATGCAGGAGGCAGCCAATCAATGATTCTCTCTCATCCTTGACGTTTCTATCTCTCTCTCCCTCTTCTTTCCTCTCTGAAATCAATAAAAAAATATTGTTAAAAAATTTGCTAGCTGTATGATACTGGGAAACTTTTATTATCTTTCTAAGCTTCAATTTTCTAACCATAAAATGGTTAACAAGTTGTTGTATTAAGTAAAATTATATATATATGACATTTTGTACAATTCCTAGAACACAGTAAGTACTCAATAAATGGAAGCTACTAATCAACAGGCCACAGGAAAGGAGTAGACATTCATATTTAAACTTAGAAATGAGGAGTGATTTTACAAATAATAAATGTTTTATTTAAATGTATTTCTTAAAAAATCTGGTATAATGAGGCATAGCAATTTATAATTAGATACAATATAATCTTGTGAGAGAATAAAGTCTCAAATGTGTATGTGTGTATATCTGTAAATATCTGTGTTTCTCAAACATAGTCTTGTGAATCAATCAGATCTGAATTGAAACCTAGCCCTACCATTTACTAGTGAGAACATGGGCAAGGCTCCTAAATTCTCCAGGCCCCAGTTTCCTTGACTGTGAAATGGGGAAAGAATAGTAACCGTATCGTAGAGTTGTGTAAAGATTGAAGTAATCTATGAAAAGTACAGTGACTTGACTCTGTCATTAAACATAATAATCATAATGATAGTAATGAGTATGCTTGTCCAACAAAGAAACATAACCAGGATTCTTCCTATGGGGACAATTACTGCGTGACTTCACACTCTTCATATAATTTCTTGTTATAGCTAAAATTCTTCTTGGATGTAAACTGGTTACAGTATAAATAAAACTAAAAGCAGACTGTCACATAGTTTTAAAAATCTATTGAAGATTAAGAAAAATATTAAGTATCTTACCTGTTGAGAGCTTTCTATGACAAGAGCTAACCCAAATTTTGAATCTCTAATCTTTATTGAACGCTAGATGTAAAATGAAAAAGAAAAAAGATGCTGTTTTTATTATCTGATAGCAGTGAATTTTTAGCATATTTTTTCAACTTTCACAAAATACACCACTTTTCATAGTCTAAATAAAAGAATTCTTCTTCTTTCCTTCATTATACTCCCACAGAGATCTAGTAAAAAAAACTTTCACATTTGAAATAAGTGGCAAACTTATAAAGCAATATAAGGATGACATCTCTTTCTCTGATTTCCTTGGAAGTCAGAAAATCTTTCTGGATATTTTGAACCAAAGGCCAGCAAACTTTTAGTTATGCAGAGCGAGAGTCTTTTGTGGCTCCTATGGCTGCTTTAGTTTTTAAAAGTTACATGTGCCTTCTGTTTCTTACATCACAGGTGGCTACTTTCTTAGAGAATCTCCGTTCCATTTGTTAAAAGAAAAAAACAAGTTGAGGGCATTCATCACTGGGCATCTAGGAAGGCTGGGATAGGTCAAATGTAACCAACACCCACAGGTAAGCGGAACATGAAGATAAGCTTGCCTAGCAGATGATGAGCAGTGACATCAGTGGCCTAGGAGAAGGGAAGAGGGGAAAGCACAATGGCAGGCAGGACCTGTGGAAAGTGACACAAAAGGTACGTGGGTGGGGTTAGAGAGAAAAAGTGGAGGATCTACCATTATGACCAGCAGACCGACAGATAGAGAAGGGCAGTCTGTGGTAGGTGATGGCATATTATACTTCCAGACAGACATTTGAGGTTGAAAAAGAGAGAGAAGAAAGAGAGGAAGAGGGAGCAAGAGGGAAATGCCTGGAGAGGGGGGAGGATAGGAGACCAGAGGGGGAAGGGAGACTGGTTAAATGGTAATTGTTATGAAAACTTGGCCTTCTATCTAGACTTCTTCACACCCCACCAGTAGTGCACACAGTCCTGGTTTAGAGCCATAAAACACTGGCACCTGGATTGTCAGTAGGTAAACTAAACAGGTAACTGTGGGTGACATAGGCCGCTAAGATGGAAACTGGCAAGGATATACATAGGAATGGGGTCAGGGCAATGGCTGAGGTGTTAAATGAGCTGAAGTTAGACTATGACTGCCTTAGTGACAGACTGTGATGATATCAGATTGCAAGCTGTTTGGGCCTGGCTGAATTCATCCAGAAGCCATACTGGCAACTGTTTTCTTAAAGAACAAAAAGCACCCTATTTGAAGAGCAGAAAGCACAGGTTATTTACTACTCATCAATTATTCAGCATAATAGAGTTTAGGTTAGGCAAGCCAAAACACATGTAAATACAATATAAAACATCAATGAACACTAGAAGCACCAATTTATCATATACCTATGTGGCCTCTGTCACATTTTCCCAGCCATGATTATAAATTCTTGTATTTCATTAGATGGCCAGAAATAATTTTCTTCCTACCAGAACTTATGATTTTCTGTTTAATGTGATGCTTTTCACCACCTGACAGAAAGCTCCTTGATGGCAGGAACAGTGAAGTTCTGGTTCATGATTTTTCTGATTGTATCTCTAGCATCTAGCACAGAGCAGCTTCTCAATATCAGGCAAATGAATGATTAGATATTTTAAAGTAACTCAGAAATCAAACAATTTAGCAAAAGATAGGCTTGAGAATATTTTCCAAAGAATCATCCTTCTCATAGGCCAAGCAGTCTCTTAAAAATGACATTTTCGCCGTAACCGGTTTGGCTCAGTGGATAGAGTGTCGGCCTGCGGACTGAGGGGTCCCAGGTTCGATTCCGGTCAAGGGCATGTACCTTGGTTTGGGCACCTCCCCAGTGGGAGGTGTGCGGGAGGCAGCTGATCGATGTTTCTCTCTCATCGATGTTTCTAACTCTCTATCTCTCTCCCTTCCTCTCTGTAAAAAATCAATAAAATATATTTAAAAACAAATGACATTTTCCAAATATACATACATTGTATCTCCTCCATAAATATTTATTAATGAAACTGCTTAGTCTTAAGACTACTCTTATACTACATTAAATAGAATAACTTCACAGGATTTTCATTAAGTATTTTTATGTTCCATCTAGTTTGCACTAGATTGTATATAAAATGAAATTCTTCAGTTTATTGTTTATTATTTGTTCCACCATATCACATACTTATCATAACAGCAACAGCAGAGTAAAAAGAACCACTTTTATATTTTCCCAAAACAAATTAGTCTTAGATGTAGTTACTTCTTATTTTGGATTTTAACAGCTTCAACTTAAGCTAAAACCATTATCATTAAAAACCATATTGATTTCTTTCACCAAAGCTGTATCAGAATACAATGTAAACAGTTCATTCACAGAATAAATGATTTTATTGTCTTTAAAAGAGTTTGAACAGCACTCTCCCTCCAGGGAACACTCCCATGCCCTTCCCTCTCCCCTTTCCCTTCTCCTTCCCCCACAGGCACGAATCCCCTAACCTCTAAGGGACCCCTGAGACTTGCAACCAGGGGAGTAATGGGCAGCGGCAGCTTGTCCTGGGCTAACCCCTGAACCTGTCTCCAAGGCTCCCTTCTCTGACTTCTCAGTGAGCCAAAGCAGCCCAATCTAGGCTCTCTCGCTACTTCTTCTATACCCTTCCTAGTTTCACTGTCCTAAGTGTGTTTTTGCTTTGGTCAATAAATTCTTGCTTGCTTTTCTTTAAAAAAAAAAAAAAAAAGGAAAAAAAAAGGGTTTGAGCAGAGCCCTGGCCAGGTGGCTCAGTTGGTTGGAGTGTCATCCTGCACACCAAAAGAAGGCAGGTTTAATCCTCAGCCGGAGTGTATACGGGAGGCAACTGATTGATGTTTCTCTCTCACATTGATGTTTTTCTCTCTCCCTCTCTCTATCCCTTCCTCTCTCTAGACATACCGTTGGGTGAGGACGGCCCGCGGGCTACATGCAAATACAAATATTGTATTTGTTCCCGTTTTGTTTTTTTTACTTCAAAATAAGATATGTGCAGTGTGCAACCATATACCTGCATCACAGAAAGGTTATGGAAAACTTTAGTAGCCAAACCCCTTTGAATGGAATCTAAGAAACACACATCTTAATCTGTATGAAAACTAAGTTTTAGAATCCAGTATATTTCTTTCCTAATAGCAAGTTGTAATGGTGCTGTTTCCCTTGACTATAAGTACAATTGGATCTTTTCTATGTTGAAATAGTAAATTATCAACATTTTAAAAGCATGCTCTCAGTTAAACTGCTGCCACTTAAAAAGGCAGAAAGATAACTCATCTAATCCCCAAAATCCTCTTAACTGTTGAACAAAATTTAATTATTCTGCATTAAAATGAGGTCATCAAAATGCATCATGCACTTACAATTTGCAGATATGGTATACTGACGTTAAAACTGTCATTCATATTTGCATGCCACACAATTCTCACATTGGTAATAAAAAAGGTTCCTAAATTTCCCTATAAAGGAGAGTAATGAGAGATATATCAAAGATCATTTGGTTGAATACTTATTCTTTATTTTTTATTTACCAAAATAATTCTAATGATCAGAGCAACAGCAAATACCAGAACTGAGTACAGGTATTATGGAGTACAGTTAGATTACTTCAAATGATCAGAGCAACAGCAAATACCAGAACTGAGTACAGGTATTATGGAGTACAGTTAGATTACTGAGATCATGGCTCTGGAGTTAGATAATCATTACATCATCAGTACTTACCAGCTGTCTGACCCAGGGGCAAATTTCTTTTTGATGCATTGTATGAAATGTAAAATGAATATCTGATTAAATAACCTATGTAAATAAAGCCCATAGCACAGTGTCTGGCACACAGTAAGCGTTAACAAGTGCTGGATCTTATTATGACTATTATTCAAAACCTGGGATAAGTCAAGGCAAGGGAGTTGTGGTACAAAAGAGACAAAACACAGGTGCTAACCCTCATTAGTCCACAAGAGCTATACTGTGGCTCTTCCACACTAACTACAGATCAAACTATAGTTGCAGGGCCCCTCAACATCTTTCATAATTATCCTAATATAGTAGCTAAGTGCCCTAAAAAATCTGCAAGACCTAATAACATGGCACCAAAATTATCTGCCTCTATCATTTATCTATCATTTTCCACCTCCTTCCCACCACATACACTAGAACAGTGATGGCGAACCTATGACACGCGTGTCAGAGGTGACACGCAAACTCATTTTTTTGGTTGATTTTTCTTTGTTAAATGGCATTTAAATATATAAAATAAATATCAAAAATATGTCTTTCTTTTACTATGGTTGCAAATATCAAAAAATTTCTATATGTGACACAGCACCAGAGTTAAGTTAGGGTTTTTCAAAATGCTGACACACCGAGCTCAAAAGGTTCGCCATCACTACACTAGAAGAATTTTCTTCATTTTATACTTTGAGGTTGCACATAAAACATTAACCAACAAACCCAAAACTTAAAAAGCCTTTTCATGGAATGACCAAATTTGAAACAGCAAAAAAGATCACCTATTTCCCAATTATAATTAAATTAATAAGAATATATATAAGTACATATATTCTCCCCTCCACTCTTATCTTGTAAAAAATTATCATACAAAAAAATTTACTCACCATTACTCCCAGCCCAAGTCTCATTAAACAATACTAAACTTTGCTGACTCCTGGTGAAAAGTAGTTAGTCAGATGGGGAATGTATATCTCCTATAGAACCTTTATCATAGTTTAAAACTAGAACTTTTCAAATGAGCAAAGTTTATTTACAATTTAAGTTTATGATTCAATGTTTATTTTAGCAAGATGCTCGTCATTCAAATGCTATAGCTTTACCACAGTGGTTGTCAGTGTAATCTAGGTTGTAACACACCATAAACTGGAAACTATTCTTAGTAAGAGACAAATTTTTCTCTAGAAATTAATGTTATTTATTCCAACTATCAGTTGCTTACATGTTTCAACTAGTAATAATTTCAAGAGTAAACGAAAAGTTACAATAATGGATACAGGAGTCACCAAATGAATTATATATTTAATTCCATAAAGACCAGATTTAAAAACTTCTGTGATGGTCCAACCCCTAGCTCTCCTCCATTAGTACAGGTTATCAAGATGCGGAGTGCAGGGTAGTAGCATCGAGGGAAGATCATGGCTCTGGGCTGAACCAGGTATGTGAGGTCACTTGATTCTTAAGGGCCTGAGTTTTACATCGATAAGTGAAGAGAGGCTAAACTAGAGATGATCTGAGGTCCATTCCAGCTCTAAATGCAATGCAGGGCAAATGTTAAACAGGACAAAACCATACAAATATGAACACTTGGAGTGCGGGAAACGAGTTAAGTCGGCTCGCGTGAATTGCCGCGTACTCCGCGGGAGCCGTCTTTAACTCGGTTCATCAAGGGCCTGCGGGAAAA